CCATTTTAATTTATACAGTCGATTTTTTAAAAAACTAAAAGAGATATGAAAAAATGTTTCAGACAAAAGTTGTATGGTTTCGAGGGGGACATAAGATGGTACCATAGGTTTGACCTTGAAGAGTAATTTGAAGGTCACATGAAGGTTACCTTCAATTTCTTAAATGGAACCTACTATTTCTCGTTACATATTCTTGTAGGTTATCTCGAGAGCTTTCCAAAACACTATAATAAAGTATTTTTTTGTTAAGAACTTTTTGAGTTATTAAGGTTTGAAAGTTTCAATATTTAGACGTAAATTACAAAATATCTTGTAGAATATTCATTTTTTTATCATCTTACCTTAAAAACTTTTGTCTGAAACATTTTTTCATATCTCTTTTAGTTTTTTAAAAAATCGACTGTATAAATTAAAATGGCCCACCCTGTATATATATACAGGGTGTCCTTCGCGCGTCGATAGTTTAGTGCACTAAACACTATTGACGCACGACTCACGGATAGGTTTCCGTTCAACCGTAATGTATGATTGGCCTGTTTTGAACCTTTTTATCTAAAAAAAAACTACTGCTCGGAACGAAAAATGGCAAATAACTTTTTAATTTATTTTTTCGACGACATTCTTGCTATGGTATTTTGATTCGCGAATTTCAGGACACCCTGTATATATAACAAACCAGTAATAAAATGATATAAAAACTCGTTGAATTATATCGATAATTATAACCAGGTACTTTTGAAAATTCAAAATAATACAAAGATATTAATAAGCAAGTAAGTACATTAACATATTTTTTTTCATACTAGAACTGTGTATGCCATTTTTCAATGATTTGTAGTATTATATCACTAAAATTGTTAAAAGTTTTTCGCTGACATACATTACTTATAATAGATGTTATATTTTATACGTTTTATTATGAATATTAATTAAAATCTATTTTCAAATTCTGTTCTCAGACTTATTCTCTTTTCCCTTTCTTGATCATTTTATATTTATTTATTTAATTTATATATTATAATAAAGTTTAAATATTTTTGAAGAGGCGATCATATTACACATTTACAAAATTGTGGCAAACAAGTATAAATGTTAATTTTAAACATATATTAATGCACAGTCCAAACGGCCTCGTAGGAGAAACAATTTTCTTTTCTTCTTTCGAAAGTAGTAATATTAAAATCTTGAAATACAAATGAGAAGAATAAATTATTAAAATTTTTTAGGAAATCGTACTATTAAAAATGGTGTATTTTGTGAGTGCTAATTATTAATGCGACAGGATGAGCTCATTTTGCCGTATCATTTATTAATCTATAATCTGGTATCTTCCCGTGGTTGAAAGCGGATATCTAATATTAAAGATAATTATCATTTTATCGTTAAAATGCCATGCGTATTACTGAAAGTAGGTTTGTAAGTACGACCGTCGAGACATTTCTGAACTGTCGAGACATTTCATGTCTCCAACTTATTAATTAAATAAATTGATACCACGTTCCAGTTAATTTCGCCGCGACTCTTCAATAGCGCGGAAGCTAATCATTCTATTTTCATAATTCCTCCACTTATAAATTGGCATACACTTTAAGATTTTATATAATTTATCACAATAAATTTACTTTATATTTAATATTTATTTAATTTGAAATTTAATTGGCAACAAGAAAGTTGAAATCGATCGAAAACTTACAGTGTTTTTTTTATTGAAAATGGTTTATTCCTAATTAATACAAGGTTACATCTTGTAAAAAACATGAGTTAAGGAAATATCAGAGTGAGAAATTAGTTGTGTAAGATCCTGTATTATATAAATGATATGAACATTGCGCAAATCGTATATGATATCATATATTTCGGTGACATATTTGCCTCATATACATATTTTGTTTTGCAAAACGGGCCAATAAAGGCACGAGTAAAACTATGCGAAGACGAAAAATGGTAATAAAAAGTCAGAGAGAAATATGATATTTAATGAGCTAAACTGGTAATGAGTCGATCGCTTTCGTGTTTAAAGAACTATAAAATACAGCGACGAAGGTGATAAGCCTAGTATTAATTATTATTTTATGCAAGCACGTAATTTTTTGCCAGCTATATAGTAAATATTTAAACTGAAATTTTAATAAAATGCAGTGCAGTCGACGCCGAAAAAGGATATTTTTATTTAAATATTGGGGTCATGGGATTAACCACTCTAATTTAGAAATGTAGTTATGCGGCGCCATTCGTAAAAAAATATTGAGAATTGCAGTTTTTTTCCAGGAGATTCGTGGGCCGACAAGTATCCTTGATCTTTTCTGTCCGACGAAAATATTTAACCCGTTCTAGGTCGAATCGGAATCCAAAATTAGGTATGATTTTGCTAAGAGTGAATTAACGGTTGGAATATGAATGCGAAATTTTTTATTTATGTATTTCTATTGCAATGAACGGGAAATGTAAAGACGACGCACTATGCTCTTTAAATGTGTCACAGATCTTAAGCTGGGATTTACGAGCAGAAATTATTAACTAAACATACATCTCACAACATTTCTTTTATATAAAATAATATACTCTTGAAAATATTTTTACGCGAAACTACGCCGTCAGTTTATGTTTATTTATTTCGAGTTAATAATTAATTAACATAAATGTTTGCAGGTGGAGGCTAGTTCAAACGAACGGTTTCGAACTGAAACAAATTCGTACATTTTAATTAATTAAACGCGTGTACATCAACTGGATATTTAATTAGCGTTTGCAAATGTAAATAGCAATCGCATAGCAGAATTTATAATTCTATAGTAAATGTAGCCACATGGCGCGTATATCCTCGTTAGGATTTTAAGGACTAATTCGTGGTGTTCAATAAAGCCGCATTATTTAGAAACTGCCAAAGGGCTTCGTAAATTATTTTGGGGAACTAATTCTAAACTAAAAGTGAAAATAACATTTTGCAAAGTTATAAATCTTTCCTCTAGGACACCTTATTTTACCGAGACTGATTAAGAAATCGTGGGAACAGATTTTAAATGCGTTCCAGAAATATTTCCCCATCGCTGAAAAATGTTGGAGTGTCGCAATGCGAACCAGCTGCCAGACATAATTGATTATTTTTATTTGTCCAATATTAGTTGTACTTATATTCTATTTAAATTTGTCCCGTCTATTACATTTTGACTGTGGTTTATTCCGAATGGTTCGAAACCGGCATTATAATAATCACATTAGTAACTCATCAGTTAAATCCTTTTTTGTACTGGACGTTGTTAACATATACAATCATTTTAAGATTAGTATTTTAGTTGATCCAACTGGCAATATAATTGATAAAGTGTTACATTCGATGCGACGTTTCGACCAGGAATCCGGTCCTTATCAAGCAATCAAACTGCAAACCAACATGTCACAGCTTTTTACAAAGGAAAATAATTTATATAAACAAGTGTTCAATTTACAAGTAACATATTAAAGAGTATGTATGTGAATATTACCTTGTGTATAAATGTTCATAGAGTACATATTGTAGCAGATATATAAGTCTTTGTCAACGCAGTAAATCGACATTTTTATAAACTCTTAAGAGAACAGATCCGCACGCTGCGGCGTTTTGTTGTTTGAACTGAGTCGTAAGTAAAATAAGGAAACGGTAGATGACAACGTGACCTACAGTGATTCGATAACACAGTCATATAATATGTTTAGGTTCTCTGTGTCCGTTTGTAAATTAATTGTGTTGTTCGTTTTCTTGATAAAAAACATTTCAGCGATCTCACGTTTCCTAAGGTTGCGTTCACTGTGTAAAATAATTGGGGCCGACCAATTAAATTCATGGTCATTGGTTGATCGATGTCTATAACTAACGACGGATTGATTGCTGAAATGTTTTTTAATGTCATTTTTGTGTTCCTTGATTGCTTGATAAGGACCGGATTCCTGGTCGAAACGTCGCATCGAATGTAACACTTTATCAATTATATTGCCAGTTGGATCAACTAAAATACTAATCTTATTTATTCATCACTGGTGACTTGAAGTATACCCCTCTACTTGTTGACAATCATTTTATTTTCTTCTCCTTGCACGGCACGGTACTTCAGTGTTTTTAAAGCACAATGTGTAACTCTGTGTAATTACATCTTATTAATAAAACTACTTATAACATAGTACAAGTACCTATCTAACAAAGTGTGTTTTTACATTTTAAATACTTAAAAATATTATACCTGACATTTTATTAATTACAATGCATTTACAATAATAATTTATGAGAAGGTTGCTGTAATTAAATCTAGTATTTTTGACCTGCGCCGCGTAACGCGCAAACCATTTGAAGAATAAAAACGCACAGGTATATTAATATTAAAACACACGCACGTGCGCAGCGCGAAATTATAAACGGAATTGTGTCCTGGTATCTAACGCGAATCATAGGTCGTCTAAAGTGAGCTTAACTGATCGCTAACGCGCGATAATGAATTCGCGCGTTAAGGTCCGCCGAGTGCACACCTAGGAAGCAAGTGCGGCGAGCAGTAATAATTATGTCACCGTTATAAAACACTTTCCTCCGTCTTTGGCGGGTTGCCAAGGTCCCTTGCCTCACCCGAGTTCCGTCTGTCGAAGGTACACGAGTACATCGCGGAATACGTGAACGCGATGCCTTGTCAGATCGTGACGACAAGGATGGTGACAGCGCACGACCGCGAATTACATATGAGAAGGCATAAACAATACGCGCCGTATAACAACCCCCATGCAACAGTTCGCAGGCACGCATAACGAACGCACACACGCACAGGCGATCCGCGTGCGTCCTCGTACGTTGATCAATCGGCTAGTGACGCATGCTGAACGCTCGGGTATATAAGCCACCCGCCAAAAAGCAGAGGCATCGCATTCGGTTACTGTCCATCGGCAGCTGATCCTCCAAAGGCTATCTATCAACTATGAAGTGCCTCGTCGTAAGTATCCCGATAGATCTTTCGCCGATATCTTTGCGCGCACGCGGCACATTGTTAATATTGTGGAACAAAGCCACCGCGCTCGGGCAAGTCGACTGAAAATTCATGATCTTCTGCATTCCGGGGCGATTAATTGAGCCACGACGCATTTATGGTACCGCATGAAATATTCTGATAGATTTTCAAATTAATTCACTCACCGATCATGATATACGCCGATTACAGTCTAATTACCGCATTGCCGTGATTACATGTAAATCGATCGGCTTGAGTTCGGTTGCACGTTCCGGTTACGGATCATGCTTATCGTCGCATAATACTGTAATATTCTAGTGTTTCTCCGATAATTAATTAGCAGAGAATCTGCTCTCCTTCAAAATCATACCCTACGGAGATTTCGGTAGCTGCAATTATTGAACGGATATAAGATGCAACGTAAAAACTTGCTAAACGTTTCTAAACTTTTCAGAATTATAAACGTATCTTTCCGTAGCCTGGATCTCCGTAATCTCGGCTCTCACCTTACTTAGCATAATTGCACATTCTCGCATCATTTAAATATATTTACACACTATTTTCCCTTTGCCAATGTGCGTAAAATGTATCAGTGAGTGTATTATAAAATTTTGTTGAACATTTGTCAGAACATTAAGTTTACATTATAAATTATAGTCGTTCTATTTTCTCACATGTTGCACGGTATTATCAATAAATGCAATAACGTCTGGTTGTCTAACATATTTTCAAGACATGACATTTCCTAATATACACATGTCACGGGGTAAATTAATTCGATTAGAAAATATATTCCTTGTCGTTTGGACAAAATGGCTTGTTTATCTATACGAACGCCAAGGTGTCAACTCCCATCTCGTGCGATTAAATTGGGAATTAATCAAGGCTCGATTTCAGGCTATCCTCCTCGTGGCTCTCGTAGCCGTCGCCATGGCGGTGGAGAAGACGCCCGAGGCTGAGAAGGCACCGCAGCCTGCCGAAACCGCCAGGGACAAGAGAGGCCTCGCGTATTCGCCGTATTATTCGCCGTATGCGTACGCCGCCCCGTATGCGTACTCACCTTACGCATATAACGCGTATAACGCTTACAACTTGCCGTACAGCTACTCTCCGTACGCCTACCATGGCTACCACCCCTATTACCGTTACAACTATCCATATTACAACACCCCTTACTACTAGTTTGAAGCATCGAAATGCAACGGTGACTCGAGAAGACGAAAATTTCATGGAAGCCTCATTACCTCAAGGAAACCTCACGGAAGATGTTTTGCTCACGCATTGTAATCCAATCGATTCCAAAACTCTTGGTGACCGCAGATCTGTTCGTATCTGACTTCTTTGACTGTCGATTTCTTTTTTCTATGCTTATTGTAATAATAAAATTATGCTACATATGAAAGGGACGAGTATTCTCCGTTAATTCTACCCTTCTTGTCGTTTTCCAGGAGACTTGAAATGTAATTTTATAAATTTTCATTTTCGCAGTGATATCTGGATAATTGCGCAAACGCAACACGCTATTAAACTGCAAGCTATTGTATTATAATTTGCGAAAGCACTGTTACAAACGAAAAAGCAGAAAGAGAAAGAAATAATTCACTACGACGATTTATTGCAATTGGTAATTTTCGGTGGAATATTACGCTCCGTTTGGAATAACGTCCTTAAGCTGCCGAAAGAGTTTATTAAAGGGCTCGTTTTCTGTTTATTTTATATATGAGATACATTACTAGATAACCGGCTCGCGGTAATTACGGTGGATAATTAACAGGAAAGCATTGCGAATTTTAATGACTGCCAAAACGCGTTAATTCAGATCCAATTTGTGTAACTGCCGGGCGCTCACACAGCCGTAGTAAATAAATTAATGGCAAAGGCCATTTTCATAGTCGAATCCGGCGAGTTTATCGCGCATGCATTTGCGGTTTCGTGTTTCGTACGGGTGCTTAATGTATGATCGATAACGCGGACTTTCAGATGCGATGCAGAAAGATGTCAAGTGGAAGCGATTGGCGTCATTGAGAGACCAAATCTACGAGGCGAAACGAGTAGCTCGTAAATGCGCGCATGGGGGTTGCATTAGCGTCGTCGCGTCTCATCATTAGCCGTGAATATTGGCATCGGTTTCACTAATGCGACACATGAATGGCGCCAGAGCATCGCGTATCTAGATCCACAGATCTAGCAAGAAATTATATTGTCAAGGCCCGTGTCCACTTGCAGCTTTTATGGAATAGCTGCAATTTGATTAGCTACACATTTCACAAAACTGGAAGGAATAGAGCATTCTTTTTCGACAATTGTCGATCGAGGAGCGTTCTCTGCCACAGCTGTAAAACATCTACCGAAATAATACGGCATTGCGTAATTTCGGTTAAATAAAATACGGAAGAGTGATTTGACTTTGGCCATTAAAATTAATATCTTTTGAAATATGTATTTTCGATTACATCACCAAATGAATTAATTCGCCTGCATAATTACATAAATTTAATTATGGGACGTCTTATGAATTATTATTGAAAATACATACCAATTGGTACAATGCTAGACATAAAGTTAAAATATTAAAATTTTGTGAGATACTTGTATAATTTATAAAGAAAAGTCCTCTGTTATGAGATAGGATTCTAATACGAGATAGCAGGTGTTCAACGTTCAAATTCCACCACAAATATTTTTTCGCCACGATTGCACAATCTAACAATCAATTTTCCACTAAACAGATATCACTACAATGGCAATACATTCATGATGGAACCAACATATGACGTCTATTAATTTAGCAAAAACTCCGCTATCTGATATTAGAAGCCTACGTTATACTAGGGGACTTTCCTCTACGAATTGTATTTTTTTATTGCTAGATTGATTTACAACGGTGATAATAAAATTACAGTTTGTAAAACTGATGTTGAGTATCTTCTCCTAAAAATGCTTGATTAAAAAGTCTAAACTTAGATATCCTGAAGCAATATTTCTTGACGGAACGAATGGCAGACGTTATAAGCCAAAGATAACTTAATCAAGAATATCTGAAAGGTCTAAAACAGCATTTAATAGATTAGACCGTTACTCTATAGAATATTCACGATGTGTTTCATCTACGTCGTTTGGTACATAATTAATTTGCATTCTGCCTTCCAAATGTTATCTGTTTACGGATTCCGTAGCCGAAGAAGGTCGACGAGGCGTTATCCAATCTCCGATTTCTGTTCCGCGCGACATTAATGCCCGATTTCTTCACATCCGGTTATGTTGCGGTTAAAGTTAACCAGGAGATAAGCTACCAGATCCGTGCACGTGATTGGCTAAAACTTGAAATTAACCTCCGGATAATTTTATCGGGAAGTGAAAAAAATCGGCCATAAATCGTGCCCGTGTAATACGCGTGGATGTTCGAAATACTTCATCCGAGGCGTCGGAATTGACACGGAGGTCCGATTCACGCGTAATCTCGGCGCGTTACACAATACAGGTCCCTGCACGAAGGGGGAAACGCTTATTCCGTATTCCCCGAGACCTGAGACCGGAGGCGAGACCTCGCCCGTCCCCCCCGTTGACTTTCACTGGGAGACCCCAAGTGGAGGAGACCGGGAGAGGAGACCCGGCGAACGTGACCGGAATGGCAGGGCGAAGCTGTCCACTGCGTTTCGCGCGACATCGGCCGTCACGACCTCGTCGGAAGTTCACGACGACGCTCGTTTCCTCTGGCATTTCTTTATTGAGAGCATAATTTACGAACGGATGCGCGAAACGCGCGGAGTGACGAACGCAAATCTGGACTTTATGTTAGTTCCTTTGTACATTGCATAAATAAAACAACGTGCATTTCACCTTGACGAGCGAAGCGGCATTTGGGCGAAATGCGAGCCGCATTTGTATATTTCATTAAAAGCAAATGCTAAATGCCTTTCCCTTGATTTATTGGTACAAGTTTTCAGAAAGCTCTGGAGCTAGATTCTAGCATTCATTCGCAGGAGCGTAGACTTTGCTCTTGGAAACAGTTGCGAGTCGATTGGCTAAGAACTATGCGATAACCAATCAACTTGTAACTTTTCTGTAAAAGCAGAATTTGCACACGCGTTTCTCTTGCAAGTAAATTCAGGAATATAACTCTAGATGTTTTTTTCAATTTCACTAAATTATGTGTAATGATATTATATCGCTAATCTTCGAAAGGCGCATCCTTTGGTTCGATTTGGATCCTTTTAAAAGATTGTACGCTTAACTTTAGCATAAATAGTACAAACATGCCACAGTAAAGTTCTTGTACGTTCTTTATTGACTACATTCTTCATTGTCAACAAGTTATTCTTAAAAGAACATCGTACATTTATTATAATCACGTTACTCTGCCAAAAATAATTCTACAAAATTCTACAAATCTATAAAATATAACTGCCAGAATCTAAGAAATTCTACGTAAATTAAAAAGTATAAAAATCAACATAAAAATGCTAAAATTGAGACACTTTTGTTAATTTTTGTAATATTCTACAAGTAAGCAGATGTTTTAATTCCGTAAGATTTTGTTGTTTCTCAAATTTTTTAAACTAGTAAAGTTTGGTACTAATTGTTACAAAATTGTACATTTTCATGAAACTACTTGCAATAATTGCGTGATTTAAGAACATTGTAATTTGTGATACTATTTCGTAGATATTTTTACAAAAAAAAAATTAATGTTTCAACGAAGATATACAATTTTCTACAAATTTCTATTTCAAGTCAATTTTTTTTAGTTATTTATAGAAATTTTTCCGCTAGGGTAGCGCGGATAACAGACTTCGGTAAGCGGCTGCAAAATTTCGATTACAGGACCGCGCTGAATATACGACGTACTTTACATCGATATGTATAACATCACGAATCCGTAACAGTATTGCTTAAGTCTTCGATCGATGAAAGCTCGTAAGAAAGTCTATTGTAATTCGTGGATGGTCGCGACCCGATTGTATTTATACATGTGCTGGTATGGCCGTGGTCTTAGTCGGCGCGGACTTGTCCATCCTCAAACAAATTAGTTTCTTGAGTCGCGCAGTCTAATTCAATGTCGAGACCCCGTGGGAAATAGCGCAGTTTCTTGTTGGAGAAGACAGCCGAGTCGCCTCAGTGCAGTGTTAAGTGCGAGAGGGATTATACAAACTTGAAAATGCGGCTATTTTTGGTACGTAATAGTATACCATACAGTAATAAAACTTTGTTCGTGTTGTGCCGTCGCATATTGATCCGCATATGTAACGTAAAATTATTTAAAAATGTTGCGTTTACGAAATAGAAAGCTTCTTACGTATAAAAGAGTTATGGGCAAACTAATTTGTATCTAAATAATAGGTAGCATACATTTAAGAACGGTTTATCTCTCTCCTTTGCACAATTACATAAGGTTTTACTACTTAAAAAAATTAATTGAAAATATATCAAAATGAAAATTTCACTTACATATAAAGTCGCGTACAAGTTTTTAAGAAATTTGTCTCTCATATTTCGTAATTTAATAAAAACATTTACTTTGCTTTTCTTACATCTCTAATTTTAAATTAAAACGTTTTGCTATTTTTTTTACACAAGAAAGTCTGATTCATAGGTCATCTATGTTCTCATACTGATGTTTGCGCTGACTCGAGCCAAGCAGAGGGCCGAAGTGCAAAAGTCACAAATCACGAAACTGGAAGTGGTAAACCTCGGCGAGGTCGAAGTTAAATCTGATTTGAAGCAATCCGACGTCCAGCGAAAACGAGACTCCGGATACACCTACAACAGGCCGAATCGTGTCTCTCCAAATGGTCGGTTTCGCATCCAAACGCATCCGTCGAGAAGTCAAATCGCATTTAAAGTCCCTGGACAGTTAAGCAGACCATTTATGCAATATGGACCGCCGAGTCACTCAACTTCCGGTTCGGCGACACACGAATATCATGCTCAGCAACATGGAAACCAATTGCAGTATAACGTCAATCACCAGCAATCGGCCAGTATCGGTGGAACAGGACCGATGGGACAAGAAGTACCGAGCCCGATCAGAAACGTCGATTTCGCGGAGGTGAATCCGTTCGCTAGTCAGAATGACGTGCCGTTTGGCACAAACACCGCTAATTATCTACCGCCACAGAATCAGAAGCTGCCGATTTACTCTTCAACGAACAATTTCGACTCGCAAAGCATTTCGGGTCAGGTTCACGGCACGAGCTCGCAGAGCCAGAACTTCGTGCAGGCTCAGAATCATGAAATTTCCGACGCCGCGCTTTTCCTGTCCGAGAACGCGCAGGCGATCGAGCAACTTTACGGCGCACCCGCGAGCCATCAGGACTTCGCGCCTGGCAACGATCAATTTCACGATATCGGTAATCCGATTGGTAATCTGCACAGTCAATTCGAGAGTACTTCGCAGAACCCTGAGGGATTCCGTGGCGCGTTGCCGTCATACGCGTCGGGTACGCTCGATCCTCGAAAGACCTTGGAACAAATTCAGTCCCTAGAGAAAGATCGGCTGATCGTGCAATTGCAGCAGGCCCTTGCCCAGGCTCAGACTAACCCGAGCGCAAACGCGGCGGGAAGATATGCTCAGAACCAAGCGGGCTTCGTTCAGAATCAGCAACTTCTCGCCTCCATAAGTCAGCAAGTGAACTCACATATTCCCACGACGCCGCAGTCTGCAGCCTTTGGCCCTGGGAACACCGCCTTCAGTCAGTCTACCTTTCTACCAGAAACCACGGTCAACCCCTTGGGATTCCCCGTTAACTACGGTGTTCCGACCACCACGCAAACTCCGACTACAACAACTACCGCCGGAATACTCACTACGCAATCCCCATTGCAACCATCCAAGGGTGATGGTATCGTCCAAGTTGTGTCATCGCAAACCGCTTCTAACCAGCCTGGTTCTTCCGCGACTGGATCTCCCACGGGAGTCCCCCTTTACGGTGGATTCGTGCCGACCTTCATCACGGGGACCAGTTTGATTCCCAACTACGGTACCAACATCTTTACGTCCGGTCCCCTCAAACCCGTGCAATCCCCCGACGCATCCCCCACCCATTTCGGGATACCGATTCCCACGGAACCGCCGCAGAAACCGACATCAGGACCGGCATCCTCAACCCCAGCGACAATACCGTCTCTTTCATCGTCCAATCGACCGGGGATCACGCTGACATCGGCGGCAATCGCGCCGGTGGCCCTGCCAATTCAACCGATACGACCTGTTGCTCCTCTCGCGACGCCGGTACATCCGATCGCCGCTTCCTTGTTGCCGGCGAATCCCACACAAGTGCATCCGGTGCAAACCACCCCTGCCGTAACGTCCAGCGTGCAACATGCGTATGGTGTGCAGACCGCATTGATCAATCCTGTTCTCTATAAACCGGTTAAAGCGGTCTACCCGCTGTACTACTATCCCGTGAACATCGCATATCAGCTGCAGAAGCCTACCTCGCCGAGTTACCCGTGGAATTACGCGCCTTCGTACGCGACGCAGACAGGACCGGCAAAAATATGGAAATGAGGTGTCCCCGTTCATAAACAGATCGCAAGCCGATCTGCGGTATTGTGGCTGACTGTCTACTCGCGTGGAAAAGAGAGAAGGGGAGTTTGTAGAAGAAAGTACGGTAAAGGAGAGTCACTATCGCAATCGTGTGATTTGGATTTGCTAATGACGTCGCGCTAGATCGTCTGCTAAACTTTTTCCACGTAAACGATTTCATTTTCTTCTTTCGGTAAGAGTTTCAGGCTGACAAAAAGAATTGTTCTTTGCAAATCAACCGTTACAATTGCAAGTTTTATTTGTTTCCGTTGACATCGAATGGCTCTGGATTGCATATTGAATTGCATTGCTATAAAACTTGTAAATTGTTGTCCATGATATAATTCAAGTTCCGTAGCTCATATTTATCTACAAGAATTTAAATAACAAACTTAATTTCTATTGAATCTATCATAAACGATTACGCAGAATTAAATTGAAAATTATGCAATTGCCAACAGTTTCTTCAACATCCGTAATTTATGCACAGTCTTGTAAACAATCGCATCGGAAATTTGAGTGATTACTATATAAGTTCAAATTACATACGTAATTCTAATCTGTCAAGACTTGCGTTTATAATATTACAAATTTTAGAAAACAATTGTTTTTCTCCGCCTTTGTGGATTTTATATAGCATTTAGTATCTCAGCGTACTTGAGTTTCTCGCTGCTGAGGAGAGTAACTACGATGATTGTTCAATACACGCCTCGTAGATCCACTGCGTCATCTGTCATTGCGCATCCGCTGATTTCGAAATTCATCATCGAGAAAGTGACAAGCAGGTGATAATTAGCGCAGTTGTCTCATTGGAATTGGGATACTGTGGTAAGAATGTCAAGCGAGCATTTCCAAGCATTACTCGCCGTTTCGAGTTGCTGACAATACGTAAAAAGAAATTTTCTATTCATACGAACGTTTGAAGATGTTATTTATAGAATAGGAATATTCGTCGATTTCTCTTAAGTACAGTGTTCCTTTTACGTTTTCCTTACCTTCGGATTGTATTAACTAATGTTATGTGTGTGCGCGCGTGGGCGTGAGTGTATGTGCATATAATTTACTAAACAATTTAATTATATTATATGAATGATGATTGCGGAATTTCGTGCGTACTTTTTCTACCGTCTCAGATTTACTTTCGAGCACATGTAAATACACATGTTCTATTTATTTCGTCAAATAAATATTTTTGTACTTTGAAAAATGATCTTCTTTGATAGCAAGTCGTTTTCGACACTTATATGATTAAGAATTTTAATAAGTAACAACGAAATTTCTGACTTGTAACTTAATTTTCACATCTCTAATCTGACGAATCTTACGTTTGTAGGCACTCTTGTAAGTTTGTTGCCTGAAGAGGACTAGTATTACTGGCCGAAATGTTTTATTATAATAAAGAGTTGCCAGTAAGGTCGTTTCCATACTTGCTAAAACTCGGAATGTCAATTGTGCGTATCAGCATAAAGAAACTGCGTGTAAAATGACTGAATATGAATGTATGAGACGCACGTTAATCTAATCGCAGATAGCCCGCAGTATGTATATGGCGCATCTCACATTATCGCGATGGAAAGCTGAGCCGAGGAAATGAATTACTGCCACTTCCGGCCCCCGAACGGATCTACGCGAAGAAACTCTCACCCGTGTATTCGTGACCATCGGATACGATCTTCATCGCCACGCCATTCGATTCTGACCTCGAAAGTCATTCGATAATTCCAGCCACGGTCAACACAGTTGGATTATTCGAGCGATTCTAAGTATGCATATCGCTGTTCGCAGGTGTAGGATTCCCGAACGATTTCGTAATTCTTGCTAAGAGAAGAGGAAAGACACGTATGGCTGTCAAGCCCGAGATCATCGATTGGAATCTACAGATCGTCAGATAGTCGAATAGAGGCGCTTTATATTCATTTAACAACCTGCTGACGTTTGCTAATTCTTTGCAGTCTACTTCTTTTTCTCATTGAACTCGATAATTGACCACTTGAATTTTTAAAACCGAAATAAATCATGCAAATGTATCATTTTCTATTGTTAATTTATTTATGATATGAAAATGGAATATATTTTGGAAAGAACGATAATTAAATTTATCCAGATAGAATCAAAGAAGTTATCGAGTTCTAAAAAAGATAAAGATCTGCAAAATATCTACCATGCATGAGACAATAAGCGTAAAATTTAGAGCAATGTACATTTGTAAATTACCTTGATTTGTATAGCACGCATAAATGTATATGCATAGTTCGCTGCATCTCACGAGTGTTAATATTTAGTTGGTATTCTCGAGGTAGTTTCTAAGTGAAACATGACTAAATCGTACCGTTACGAAAACCAGATTTTCACATGGTTCCCGCAAATGTAGTTGCCAGCAGTATTTGAGGGGTCAAGCATGCATCGAGCCCGGAAAGTCGCGGAGTCACGGAGTCTCGAAAGCGCGGGCTTGACCCTGAGAGCCCAGCAGGCTCGTCGCGTTAAACCTGTTGTCAACTCACTTTCCGCAAGTGACCCATATTTTACTGCCCGGTTTCCGGTTTATTCCGCCGGTGCACTTTTGTAACTTTATTCTGAACTCGTGCAGAGTTTCTCAGACCTTATTTGGAAAATCTTGCATTCTTCCACTGATTGCCAGATATGTAAATTGCTCCTATTATATGCAAACTGAGCATTTCTACGTTTTTCAATCGGTACTTTTCCAATTATTGTGAGCAGTTAAATATCAACCGTTTGAGATATAGTCGAATAGCGAGAAAGCGAGAGTTCCGGCAATGCTCAGGCTAGATCGACAAGAAAGACAAGGAAGTAAGATGCAAAGCGATTTATAAACGTATAAAAAAGAGCGGGAAGCGATAGGAAAAAGTTTGTGACTGGGAAAGTGAATTGTCGAATATGAAAAAGGGAAGGTAAATCTTAAATGACAAGAAAGTAAAAGACGAAAGTATTGCCAGGTAATGGATGTAAAGAATCATACGTTCTAATGAAAGAGTTAAATTGAGTGCGAAAAGGAGTTGTGTGTGACGGTGCAAGAAAATTGTAATAAAATGATGAGAAGGCACGAAAAGCGAAAGCGATTTTAAGACGACATCTTTTATTCGAAATCGCGCATGCAACAGGATAATGAATCATTAACATCGGCACACTTCTAAGCAACGTTGATTCTAAATGGTCCTATTGAATTTATAAATGATAGGATCGATTTTCTTCTAAGATTAACTTCAATACTCACTAGCCTTTATTAAAAAATGCGTAATTTGATCTTAAGATGGCATAAATTCACTGTATTATCTTAGTATAGTTTAATACTGTGGTTACTTATCTATTTTTTTTATGAATAAGAAGTACTGTTATTTATTTCTATTTCTTTGTTTAATTAAATTCTAAGTAGAAATATTTAATTATATTTAATTTCACTTCCATTATTTTAAACGGAAAGAATTAGATGTTAGAAAAGAATGACGTTTGCGGAACAATGTCTTTAATGCTTCGTTTTAGTGCGTGTCTTACGCAATAATACGCGTGCGCTATACTTAGCTCTTATCGAGATGTTAACGGCGTGACAGGTATATTATTCGCAGCACACGAAAGCTGCGATAACATCTGACGTTTAAGGATACTATGTTACGCATAGATATGCGCAGACTACATAAACTCAAGACAAAGTAATTCTCAATGCAGCCACCTGCATTGCAAGTTTGCAGTTATTATAATTAACATCAACGACATATTATAGTTACACATATGTAAACACAAATGTTAATAAGCTTGCATAAATGCACGCGGTACTTTAGTCGTCGTATTTTAATCTCACAATTAAAATTTGAACAAATTAGCTAATATGCCTATTAGAATTTGGAGAAAGGGCTTAAAGATATTGCGTACAACTTGAATATAATTTCATCAAAATGCTAACTGAGGCACTATGTCTCATCTCATTATCCCATTTCTCTTATCTTCTTATCTCTCTTTCTCGGAAGTAATCCGAGCGACAATTGTCTCAAGAATTCTCCTAATTCCTTGCCTTTGAAATTGGATGATAGCCGCAGGCAACAGTCTCTTTTCTTCATCTCGCCAGTGAAAGTAAAACGATCGAATGTTTCCAAATGCTATAATTTAGCATGTTGGAAGGAGTTAGATATATTGCTACGATTCGCTGAGAGAATGGTCACGATTACCTTCTTACGCCTGCGTTCATTCCCGTACGATGATATGTTTATCATATAAAGACGCGAAAACGAAAAACGAGATATACATATACATATAGTGCCTTTTTCATTCATTTCCCTAAACGTGCATTTTACTTTCGAATGTTGATCGGCTTTCAGCACGTGACGGTATCTCATCTTTTTCCATACGCGCGGTTCAAGAACACTTGTCAGCGAGCATTAACATCTTTCTCATGCTAGTTCTTTATGTAAGAGACTAATGAAAGAAGTTAATGCGCAAGCATAATACTCGTACTCGGTGCTGCGAGATGTTTATCTTATACTTTCTTGCAACCGATATTAAAGTATCCGCTATTTTTTCTAGATCCAGGACACGGAAGAAGCTTTCTTAAATATTGAAGGCTGCATCAAATCTAAAAGACTAAAATTTCGTTACATATTTCTCTTTGTTCTGTTTAAAATGCACGCCTGGAAGTCGGCTTCAACTTTCATAATAAATAGTAGAATCTATTTTGCTCTTTTTATCGTATCTCTTTGTTGGGTCTAGTTTTTTTGCATTTTGCGGCACAAAGCAATCGAGTTTCAACAAGCGGATAGAGAAATTTTAAACTTAGTAAAAAAATGAGTACACCAAAGATAAATTGAATAAGTGTGCGTGAAGATGCTCTCTTTACGCAATAATTCGTTTAACAGTGCTTTTTGCCAATTTGAGGTAAGCCGTGAAAACAGGACTTGTGAACCAGAAAGACTGCAGGTGTTTCAGTAGATTTCAATGCATGGAAGAAGCGCGTTACCAGGAATTAAATATCCGGAAGAACATTTGGACAAGAATAGCGCAATTAAAAATGCCGGGAAGGTAAATTTCTAAACGTACGTAGTCATATATAATATAATCATTTTGCCTTTCTCTCGTAACGGTAATTAATAGAGACAATCGCTAAGACATTTATGCACAACGGCACACGCATCGGCAATATTTAAATGAGCGTTGTTGCTTCATTCACGAAATATGATGCGTGTACTTTCTTCGTGTTGGACTGATGCCCCCGCCCGTTAGTCGAAATTGAAAGTGAAGAGTGCAAAATAATCTAGATGTATCTCGCTACGATTCGGACGATAGCGTTTTCTCTCAATGCTCGACGAGACAATACTTCCGCCTGTCTACAGTAATTAATTGCACTGAGGAAATAAAATATGTTAAAAAGAAAAAAAAAGTAGAGTGGAGCGGTTCGACACTGTAGTAACTCTTATCGTATTGAAATTAGATCGCCGGCTCCGCGAGAATGTAGTAATTAAAAACGGCTTAGCGTATATCCTACCGCGCCGGTCTTTCTTGAGCGAGATTTTCTTGATTCCCATAGGATATTGCGCGATATCGCTCATGGAAATATACACGGAAGAGAACAAAAGAGCCTGTAATTGAAAATATCCCGGACAGAAAGTGCAGTAGGTGGTTGACCTTGTACTTTCTCGAGGTGAGCGCCTATGCGGGGACAGGGGTAAGAAAGAAACAAGGGGACAAAATTTTGATTTGTTGCGCGATAAATCAATATCCGCCGTGCGTCGATCCGGTTGACACCGTTTCCCAGAGAGTTTCGGGCTCCTCTCCTCTTTCGTCTCTGTAGACGGGCTTAATACTCTCGGAAGGATGTTGTCGTTTCTTCCATTTGACGAGGAAAAATTGCGGCCGAGGATCGAATCGGACCACTTTTCACCGATAGGTGGGGTCTGATTTGCAAAACGCACGCGAGCATTTCCCGCGTTGCAGTTGACTACTATCTGTGCCAAACGGCGACGATGCGACGCGACGCTCGACATATCAGCGCCGGGAGACTTACCTTCACCTAGACCTTTCTTTCGCCGTATGAGAGGGGATCCATGTATAAAGCCTTTCTTCTTGCTAGCAATGGCACCAGAAACCATAATATCATTCAACCACTTGGATGCTACCAAGTTACGGGAGATAATTACGAGATCAATCCTAGTTCAGCAAGCATGCGGTTTATTGTAAGTATCACGTCTTCACAAGTGCTTGCGAAAATTTACACCTTACGTTTTCCACCCGTGCCAATCACTTTTATATTTCCGCGTGTGTCTTACATGTGTAAAATTGCTATTTTAACGGTGTTTAACAAAGGCAGTGTAACCATTAACACTTTTTATTTTTAAATAAATATTTAGATAAGTGAGCATTTATAAATTACGAAATTTAATGGGACTTGAAAGCTTAAAGGAATTAAGTTTGTAAAACATTAATACATAACGTAATAATTTATTTAAATACATTATAATTAATGTAAAATACACGGAAAACTTGTAATACATTGCAAATACGTTTAAAAACAAAAGTTTTATTCAAATTTTCTATGATAGATGTACTACTGATATACCTACTCGCATTTATTTATCATTTATAATAATTTTCAACAAGTTAATAAGTCCATTTTATTTTACATGGTTCAATTTCTAAATTTTAATAATGTCTGAAAGTTAATGAATTAAATTTATTGTAATTACTAATATAATGTAACAATTGTATTATCTGGTACGTAAGGCACTCTACAACTTATGATTTTCATCTTACTGCTTTTTGAAGAATATTTAAATTGACAATAAGCTTATTAAAATTAATGTCAGGAATAAATAAATAAATAAAACTAATATGTCAATAATTGGCACAAAATTATCATTTTTCGTCAATTATTATTGTAATAACTTTTAACTGTTGTATCTATTAGTTAATTATATTATACAAAAATTATGTATGTAGGTCTTTGAAGTTTTTAGCTCTTCCTAATAATAATTGATTATGTATGTCTAATTTATAATTCAATTGTAAGTTGAATTGAACTAGTTAATTACCTGTTATTAGTTAAAATTGATATATGCTACATAACATTTTACAGAGTTACCATTAAAATTAAGGCGCTTGTATTAATTACAATTCATCTAGTTCACGCTGCAATTAAATACTCTCCCACAAATATTAAACAAAATAATAATAACATTAATTATTATGATGTAGTTATCATGTAACCGCTCATCCAACCATTGTTAAATTACATATCACATTAATAATCGACTATCAACTTATAACACTGCATAATTGTATGATTGATTATCCAATTAATTTTCGTATATTCCGCTCACTAATTAGAATTTCCTCGCTTTTTGTTCAGCTAATACGACTATTCATAGCTTAAGCAGTTTAATTATAACTCGGGCAATTGGTTACAACAACTTTGTATTCCACTTTCACGCAAACCGATCAAGCCTATGAAAGTGGGTCACCCTAGAAAGTGACATACGAAGATGAGCGATAACAACTGATTTGATCGCGTAGGTGTTTCTGGCGGCTCTCGCCTGCGGGGTCTGCTGCAATGAAATTCTGCCGAATCAGCTTCTATTGCAGCCGAAGAGCAAACGCGGCATCAACGACCACTCGGTGACTTTCCCGTCGCAATCTTCTTCATCCTATTCAGCTCCCGTTCACTCGAGCCTGAGTTCCGGTTACGCGCTAGGTGGATCATCCGGTGGCTTCTCCCTGGGACACGCTGGCCTTCTCAATTCGGGCGGCTCCGTTGGCCACGGAGCTGGATACTCCTTAGCGCCGTCCAGTGGCCTAAGTCTCGGATCCGGTTACCAATCGTCCGGATTGAGCCATGGCTCCCTAAATCAACAGAGCGTCTCTTTAGGCGGACACTCGGCTCAGAGCACCTACTCCGTGCCCAGCGTAGCGAATCTCGGAAGCGATGGAAGTAGCAACGCACTTTTCACCCCATCGAAAACCGGCCCCGTTACCTTTGGAGCCCACGGTGGTAGCGGCGGTGGCGCGAGCACTTCCGGCTCCAGCTCGTACAGCGCACCGGTCTACGCTTCCGGCGGCCACGGACTCTCGGCTTACAGCAACGGAGGGGCATCTAATGTTGGCTATCAGGTCGTGTTGGGGTCGTCGCAACATGGTCTATCGTTGGGTTCCCCAGGCACCTCGTCAAGCTATAATCTTCCCGTTTACTCTGGATCCTCGAGTCCTTCGCACTCCGTGACGGGTGGTCTGATTATCGCCAGTGGTTCACGCAGCGGCTCCCCCAGTTACAGCCTCCCAACGTCCGCGTCGTCTCACGGCGCCTCCGCCCTCAGTAGCCCTTCGGGTATTCACGGAGCATCGTCCACGTACTCTCTCCCGATTAGTTCTGGATCTCACGGAGGAGTCGCCGCGTTGTCGTCCAGTGGTGGGTCAGCCGCTTATCCCACTTCTTCAGGATCTTACGGCTCCTCCAGCACTCACTCCGGATTCTCGGGCGTATCGTCCGGCGGTTCCAGTTACGAGCTACCGATCGCCTCGGGATCCTACTCGAACTCGGGATCGTCCAACGCTATCTCACACGTCAATTATGTGCCGTCCTATTCATCCGGCAGCAGCTCCAGTTACTCCAGCCCCAGCGTCTCCTACGCGGCTCCGAGTATCGGCCACGCGGGTTCTTCCGGTTATCCCGGCGGCGGTGGCGGCTACTCATTCAGCTCCAACTACCTGGGATCCAGTTCCAGCCCAATTGTAGCCTATTCCGGGGGCCACGGCTACACACCCACGTATTACAGCTCGTCTAGTTCCCACGGGTCACCCGCGGACTCGCACGGAGCTTACGCTAGCATAAGTCCTAGGTATATCGGATACGCTCCCGGGGCGAGATTTTACAATGTAGATTCAGGTAGCGCCAAGTATGACACGATCTCGTACTCGGTTCCAAACGGAAAATACTGATATAACGTTTTGTAAGTCCTTTTACGTCCCGTCATATCGCCAGGATTCGATAACGGCTTAGGATTATAATTGCAGGATCTCGTGACGAACGGGTAATTAAGCGTCGAATGCATCGTAAATTTTGGATTGTCTAATTACTTGATCTTATGCTGACACGATCTTGCCATGAAAAATAGCAATAATTTTTTCAAGGTAGAGAAGACTACGTACGCAGTTGAGAGTAAAAATAGGGAAATATTTATATTTAAATTTTCTACTGTACGATTTATATAGAGATAGTAATCTGTACTGTAATCGTACTCTTAAATTGTTATCTATATTTATATCACTGACAGATATAGTACATTTTCTTCCTGTTATCCCTCGTATCACCGATCATTGTGATTTTTGTTAAATAGTTTTATATCTTCTTTTGTAATAAATAAGTTGACTTTTCAACGCACACCAGAAAACCCACGTGAAGTCTTTAAAACTGAACGCGACACGTCCCGTATGACTGCATCGTCGGCAATTAATTCAGCGATATTTATCGGCCACTCGTAAATCTCGACTAGCATAAGATTGAAATCGGAATCTCTCAAGTGAAGAAGAAGTCAAGATGAATACTGCCGTTAAATTGCGCCTGCATGTTGCACGTTGCGTGCGGCGTGCGTAGGGTGCACCGCGCCAGTGTTTCGCCTATTAATTAAGCACACTCTATGATTGAGATGATCAAAGAGATCGGAAGGGTGAAAGTGTATCGCGAAATCGACAATAACATATGGTTCTCTTCCTAATTATCTTAATTAATCACAGTCGCAATTAAATCACATAGAGCGCTGGTTTACTTTCGCGACCGCGTTTACATGTCTATCTTCGCGAATAGTAAGTAATTGATTCGACACGCGCGATGGAAGGTAATATCGCGTATCGAAGAAAAAACGCTTGAACGGATTCTGTCGCGGGCATCATTGTCCGTCAGAATAATTGATGTATCTGGCAGCGACCGGTGCTGCCTTCTTCTGCTTTTACCCGCGGCGCTACCGTGAAAGTTATTGACCGCACGAACGGCAACGGTATAACCGTACACGCGAAATATAATAAAAGCACAAGTCCGCCCAACAGACAGAAACGGGATCGCTTTTACTCCAAGGCCGGGGTGAGTAAGAGATATCTTTCTAAACCTTTATTTTATCTGAGAAAGTGATTGCCGGGGCACCAGACAGAAACGTTGACTGGTCAGATTTAGCGGACAGGTTTAACGTAATGCGTATAGAAATTGATAATATACATAGTCTCTTTTTCCTATAATGTTACATATTTATATACGTAGCACTAGTTGGCCTTAAAAATGAAATTATGTAACCTAATAAAATAATATGCAACAAATAAATGTGTTAGCTCATATTATTTATGCACCGAAAGCGTTACGTGAGGAGCTCAATATATCGTTTGATTAAAAATGATAAATTACAAAATTATAATTATTAATATTAATGTCTAAGATAATGAAAGTAATAACTAATTAAATATTTTCATTTTACGGCTTAGAAATTAATTGATTATCACATTTCTCTATGTGTCGGTTACATCGACCCCACATTTTTGTAAATTGAAGAGATTATCAGACGTATATAAAAAACAATTTATAATAGATAACAATGTATTAAACTATACGAAAAATATTTTTCATACGTTACGTGAAACATTGGCGTAGTTTAATTTAATTAAATTTTAATCCCGTATCCATGTTATGGCGTCCGACAAAATATCAGGCCGATTAACGGATCGTGATGGAAATAACGCTCTATCAACCAGCGAGCCGCACGACAAGGTTGTTAATCGGATCTTCGACTACAAGGAGATATTCGGTCGCGTAAGAAAGCGACTTGAATCGCGCGTCACTTCTTTCGCGCACCTGACCCAATTACTGCGTCCCGTATGCACTGGACACGCGTGTACGGACGCATTCGCACACGCGAGGGCCGCACGACACGGCGTGACACAGCATGAAAGAGACCGCACGCATCGTCTCGGCCATGGTCCTCGGATGTGTGATCCAGACGATCACGCCCCACGCGTCGGCCGAGAGCCAACCGGTGTTGTATGTGTGTGTGTCACGAATATAGAAAACGCAACGTTTCACTATTTTCTGACTGGTTTCGCGAGAGACACGCTCGGGCTTCTCTCACTCTCATGCCCGGCACGGCGAGAGCGGGAAAAGTTCGCTCTTACTCTTCGCGAAGGCGTTCCCCCGGGCGGACCCCGTCACGCATCTCTGACTTGATCTCGGACTTGCGAGTGTCCATCCTGTCAGGCGACCGGGAGATTCACTTTCGTGACGTGCCGACCTGTAACGCGAGTCTTTTTTTTCCCCCCCAGTGAAGTAATTGAACGGGATCCGTGCGAGAGGTAATATAACGTTAGGGTAATTTTTCTTGCGGTAGAATATTACACAGTTGGAAAATTTGTGTTTTCTTGTTTAAAAAAATGCCCGTTAAAATTTTTGTGTTAAATGGTTAACACATTCATGTGTTAATTTAACAGATTGCTCTTATGTTAATTGACCTTAAATGTAAAATTATTAAAATAACTGAAAAGAAATGTTAAAACAACACAATGTGTACTTATTTTGTAATCTTACACAATACATATTATATTATTAGTAACGAGATTTATCTGTTAAAATTTACAGAATGAAATGTTGATTTGGT